GTTTGGTTGCATACACAATTGTTTTCACATGTACCCATAAAAAAATCTAATGGAGTCAAATCTGGCGAACGTGGAGGCCAATAAAATGGTCCACCTGTTCTGATCCATCTGTTAGGAAATTCCTGATTTAGAAACTCTCTAACACACAGAGCAAAGTGACAAGGAACTCCATCTTGTTGAACCATTGTATTATCTTTCAAGTTTAATTGTTCAAGATGCGCAATAAAGTAATTCTGCAACATATCTAAATATCTGTCACTGTTAATAACACGATATTGAAAAAAATATGGCCCTATGATCCGATTTTTTCCCAAAGCACACCACACATTAACTTTAAGAGAATCCCTTTCATGTTCAACAGTTTTATTTGGGTTTTCATTTCCCCAAATTCGGCAATTATGACTGTTAACCTTGCCACTAATAAGAAATGCTGCTTCATCAGAAAACAGTAAACTACTCACAAATGCATCATCATCGCCAAATTTTTAATTGAATTGATGACAGATAATAATCCTTTTCTAACAACTGTTGATGTAATTGAATTTTGCAAGCTTTCATGTGAAGTTTTGCCCACAGAATCTTATGCACTTTAGGAGCCTTAGCTCTAATGATGCATGGCTTATAGACTTTCTTGGACTTGCTGTTAAAGGCTTTTTCTATGGATGCAACACTTTCGTCGCTGATACATGGCCTACCAGACCGTGGCTTATCATGGACGGAGCCTGTCTTTTTAAATTTTTTCATCCATTTAGCAATAATGTTCCTATGAGATGGTTCTTTATTGTATTCAATTCTAAACTTTCTTTGTACAGCAATAGTAGATTTCAGTTCAGCCAACCAAAGGACACAGTTTACTTGTTCCTCAGTTGAAGCCATGGATCAAATTGATTCTGGAAAAAAGAAAATATTTTTTACTTATCTAAAAATTGTTGCAAATTTTGTGGTAATGAATTATTCAATAACTATACTTAAAACTAGGTACATTATACTTTATAACATTTTTTACAGATTATTTCTATCGCAAATACAAATAAAGTTATAAATTTTTGAAAGTGCACATGAACTTTATGGACACCCTGTATTTAATAACTCTTTTTTATTACATCGAGCACTATTTTATTAACACCAGCACTCAAGGTGTGATATCTTATACTCATATTTTGCTCCATTTTGTCGAGCACTGTTATAGATGTAAGAAAAGTATCTTTGTATCCTAACGGTTAATGAAATATGGAACCACACAGCTTGGACTATTTCACAAAAAACATCATGTAAACTGATTATTTTACTTAAGATTGAGAAAGTTAAAAAAAGAATTTATATTTTCTTTAAACACAAGAATGATGACAATGACCTAAAAGATGCCAAGCTTTATGAATTTAAATCTACAAAAATGCTACCACCTGACAAACATCTATTGGACATCGAGAAGGATCTATTTTCGTTAATTGACAAAATTAAATTTACTAAAACTACTAACAAACTACAACAAAAAATGCAAAGGGATGCTTCACTGATTAAAAAATCAGATAAAATAATTATCTAGCAGACAAGACAGTTAATCATTACAAAATCAATGTGGATAATTATCACAAAGCTATTAACAAAGAAGTTAATAAGTTTTATAAAGTCACCCAACAATTGGGAAAATGACATCAACAATGAAGCCAAAAATATAACCACTGAAATTGATGATAGGATTTATAAATTCCATAAATTGCAAACATCCATCACAGTTAAAGACCACAAAACTAATTTCCTAAACAACCCACAATACCGATTACTCAACCCAACTAAAAATAATATTGGTACAATTAGTAAAAATATCCTTGAAAGCGCATACAAATACAGTAGCGTCCAAAACTAAGGGACAAAATTTAAAACCTAATATTTGTTAGAAATAACAACTGTGAAAAGCTGAAATTTTGACAACTGGTAGTCGTTATCATCCATAATAACATACTAAAATTTGAATCATTTGAAAAAGAATTATAACAATTATTTATTTATTTTCAAAATAGGATCGTCCAAAAGTAAGGGACATAATTGAGAAAAACAATGTAAACACTATGCTATATTCAAATTTTTTGATTTCCTCTAAAGAATAAGTCTTACGTAGTCATTTGTAAACGTTGCATCAGCCGGCACCATGGCGAAACGCCAAAAACTTGATTACTCTGTGAGACAAGCTATTGTGAAGCTACACAAGGAAAAGCACACCATTAGAGAGATTTCAGAGAAAGTGAAACGTTCCAAGAGTGTTGTAGGCAGGGTTGTTAAATCCTACAATGATACTGGCAAAATAGTTAGTGCTTTTAAAACCGGCAGACCCCGCAAAACTTCGGCAAGAGAAGATCGAATAATGCAGCGTATGTCATTAAAGGACCGTTTTAAGTCTTGCACAGAAATTAAAAGGGTTATGAATAGTACCTCATGTGTTAATGTGTCAAGACAGACTGTTTGTAGACGACTGCAAGAAATAGGGCTGTTTAATCGAACCCCAGGGAAGAAACCACTTGTTAGTTCAAAAGAATAAGAAGAGATTAGAGTTTGCAAACAGGTATGTAATTTGGACATATGAAAATTGGGCAAAAAGTATTTTTCAGTGATGAAAGCAAGTTTAATTTATTTGGAAATGATGGAAAAACAATGTAAAGAGACGTATTGGTGAAAGATTAAGTGCAAAGTGTACTAAGAAAACTGTCGAGTTTGGGGGCGGAAGCGTCATGGTATTTGGAATGTTTTCTAGCCAAGGTACAACGCCTCTTGTCCGGATACAAACTCGTGTAAACGCGCAGATCTATAAAAACATTGTTCAAGATCATGTTGTGCCAATCATACAGAATTCAGGTTTCGATAGGGCTACCTTTATGCAAGATAATGCCCCATGTCACAAGGCAAAGGTGGTAATGAGTTACCTTAGCGAGCAAGATTTGGAAATTATGGATTGGCCACCGCAAAGTCCTGACTTAAATCCAATAGAAAATCTTTGGAAGACCTTGGGAGTGAAAGTTATGGAAAGAAATCCCACTAACACGGAGGATTTGTGGGTGAAGCTTCAAGAAGAATGGTCTAAAATTAGTATCGAGGATTTTCAAGAACTGATTCGTTCTTGTAGTCGAAGATGTGCAGCTGTCATTGAGAGCAAGGGCTCATTTACTAAATATTGATTGTACATGTATTTTTATTGTTTTTTTGCCGTTTACATTGTTTTTCTCAATTTTGTCCCTTACTTTTGGACGTTCCAAATTTGAAAATAAATAAATAATTGTTATAATTCTTTTTCTATCCTTTGCAAATGATTCAAATTTTAGTATGTTATTATGGATGATAACGACTACCAGTTGTCAAAATTTCAGCTTTTCACAGTTGTTATTTCTAACAAATATTAGGTTTTAAACTTTTGTCCCTTAGTTTTGGACGCTACTGTATATGAAGAATGTTCTCAGTACTAACCAGTAGCATAAAACAGCAGAAGCTATAGAATGATTTACTAATATAAAAATGGAAGAAAGATTAGCAGATTCTTGGTGATGGACGGGTAAAAATCACAAATATTGAATTGGATAAACATACATTATGTTTATCCAATTCAATATTTGTGATTTTACCCGTCCATCACCAAGAATCTGCTAATGTCTGCCATCAATTTAGCTGAAGATTACTGTCCTATTAGTGATCATGAGATTAAAATCATAAGGCAGACATAAAAACCTATATTATTTCATAATGGTCATCTGTGGACCAAAAGAAAGAACACAGAATTTAAAATTGCTATACGTGTGTTTGATTCTGGTTAGTACAAACCATATACCAAAGCTCTACATAAGAATAGATACATTAATAATGAAACTAACTCTCCATTTAATATTTTACATAATTTGCCAATAAGTCCATCCAAGTTAGATTATCTACTAACTCCAACAATAAGGAAATATTTGATCATAATAAAATTAAGTATATAAAAAGCATAAGTACTAAGCAACTATAAACTAAGTTTAGAATATTTAGAAAAAAAAACGAAAACGGTAAAAATAAACAGACATTGTAATGCGTTATGGTTTAAACCAACTTATAATTGTAATGTTCAAACAAATATTTACATAATTTTCCTAAATTTAATTCATAAACAATTTAATCACTCTACAATAGAATTTTAACAAAAATAATATAAAGATCAGCAATAGCTGCATTAAAAAAAATCAAAAAATCGATATCCTAACAAAACAATGTTATATTAGATAAATGTATGTCCAACAAAGACAACAACACTAACCATTTTACAAATAAATGCAACTGCAGAAAAAATATGATCTATCCCTTAAACAGCCAATGTATGACTGATAATACCATGTACTGAGCTAACTTACATTTCAGTAATGATGTCAAATTTTATTTTGATTCAACTAAAAATTTTTGGAAATTTCATTTCTGCCATCATCAAATGAATTTAGGCAATATAAAATACATAAACAGCACTGCTCTCTCCAAACATTTCTGGCAATTAAAAAAATGGTATTAATACACCCATTATTACATGGGATATTGTAGCAAAAATCAAATCCTACAATGGGAAAGGCAATAGATGTAATTTATGCCTTGGAGAAAAATTAGTTATCTTAAAATACTTAATTAACACTAACTTATTAAACAAGAGAAATGAATTGATGGTCACGTGTAGGCCTAAATATAAATATCTGTTGAAATATGTTGATCCAGATTAATTTTTACTGTAAATTATATAATTCCATAAGGTTACAGTGTACATGTATAAAATAAATTTTGTTATGTTTTCACAAATTCAGTATATAAACATTTATTTTTCAATTACATTTCCAATAATTTCAAGAACTCAAGAAAAATTAGATGAATATTTGTGATAAGTAGTAAATCATAATTATTTTTTCTTCATATTGTCATCAATTTCAACTATTTCTGTTATAGCTACCTAAAGCAAAAGAAATTTGGATCAAATAAGTTTTATAATATCATCTCAGAAAATGCCAAATGCTGGAGGTATATGCCCCCCAACAATTACACCTCTGAGAAAAAAAGTGATTGGACAAACCTTGACAAGAGTGGATTCAAATACCTTAATCAAACTCTGTTCAGGTAAGAACATTTAATATTCATGATTTTTTTCATTCGTCTCATTCAATTTTTTCTTTAGTAGTTTCAATCAAACTTTTACTCTTCTTCTTCTCTAATGTTTTTATTATTCTTCTTTCTTTGTATTCTTCTTCTCTAATGTTTGTTTTATTTGGAAACATGCCTTCTATAGACATGATTATTAATGCTATAAAAAGTTAGAAATCATAATACATATAATATGAAGCTTGTAAAATATATCCAAGCAAAAAATTTTTATGTGCCATTTTTTCTTCTAACTCAAAACATTGACTTGGAAAAAAGAAAATTATCCTTTTAATATTGATTGTTCTGTCTTTTTAATACTGTATTTTATGAAATGAGTTTTATAATTTTTATACCTGAAGGTGACTTTATTTTTGTCATTATAGTTTTATTTTTTTGATCATCACCAGTTTGCATAACAAATTTAGCTAAATGACCTCATTACATGATTTTATGTCTGTTTAAAGGGTTATTTAACATTTTCAGTGATAGAAGTGACTAAATTGACATGAAGAATATTGGGATGGTATCCAACAGGGGAACTCATGTGGTCTGTATTCTCTAAAAATGTCCCAAACTAGAGACATTACCATTGACAATGTTAGTGAAACAGTTTTCCCCCAAAGAATGATACAATTAAAGGAATGAACTTCAGCTTTACAAGTAAATTGACATAGTTCCTGACACTTCAGAGACTGTTTAAAACTCATTTAATTTCCACAACTCCCTTCAGTTTTTGTGTTTCAAACTACAAGCTTCAACTATGCTTCTCAGTAATCTCAATCCTCCAAAGTTGTACAATAGAACTTACTGAGAGAATTATCCCAAATGTTATTGAGTCAACTAACCTAACTGGAATAGCTGAAAATTCTCAGCATCTCTATAATTCCAACAGACTTGCTCTTTGAATTCAAGTGTAGAAGTCAAGTGAATTACCTGCTAACATGGGTGCCTTCTTGTGTCGTCTTGGAATATCTATTGTGAAAATAACAAAATTGTGGCACATGGCCTAAAAAGGGAAGGGGTTGAGCCTGGTTGACACTAACACTATTTAGCTAGGTATAGGATAGTTCATTACAATTTTCACATTCACCATAAAAACTCATCCGTCACCAATCAATCCTCCATGCACCACAATACCACATCCTACAATACGTGCCCCATACCATAAAAATTTAATGATAATAAATTATAATACATAAAAAATTATTATTGAAGAATGAGAGGGGAGGGAGATGAACCCAATAATAAACTAAAAATCAACACAAAGTAAGCTAAACATAACTGATGTTAATAGGGCCCGTCCTACCCTGTATTCTGCCCATTGGACAAAATCAAGAAGCTCTCTGGCTAAGGGAGTGGGAAAAGGATAAAAAATTATGCGGCCATGGGAAAATATAAAGCAGACCCAGTCGAGATAAAAAAAAAAAAAACTGTCAAAAACAACCTGGGGAGGTTGAAAATCTCAACCTGGATCATAACCAAAGATGTGACCGGGGACAGGCCAGGAACAACACTTACTCACATTAACTAGGTACACAAAAGCTTGTCTAACCTAACGAAAGGGAGGGCTTCACAGGAAACCACTCGGATGTGACATAGGTTGACCTAAAAGAGAAAATCAAGGCTAGCCCCGTTCAAATGAACCAAGCTCGCCTCAGTCACCCACCTTTTGCTAAAGACTGTCGAATGCAAGCGTTTTCTATCAGTTCTGATCTTCATCTTGAGCTGATGCTCAAAGAATCGGATCAGATCCTGATGAGAAAGACAGTTGCATCTAAACCAAGGCCACACTGTTCACAGTCTGACAAATCCGCCAAGCCCCATATGAAGACCTTGTCATTGAGAGGCAGCCGATTACAAGCCAATCGCCAGGTAAGTGATAACTCAGTGTTACTGAGATAATCCGCCGCCAAGACCAGAAAGAGCGAAACTCCTCCTCCGACAAATCGAGCTGCTCACGTAGAGAATCCTTTGTGACCCCCTCCACTAGATGACGATAGACATTCATAGGCTGAGAAAGGTCACTGGACCGAGGAACAGTCAACAAGGCCGACCGACACTCGCGAAGGAAATCCGATTGATCCCGGGGTTTACGATGGCGCTCAACCCGCGAGATGGGGAGGGGGGAATGATAGTAAGGAAAGGGAATACGTCCCTAACAATCCCCGCCATAATCGAATCTCCTGTCAATGCGCGGCGTAGAAAAGCCAAACTCGAGGCGAGTTTGTGACTCACCAAGTGTGGCATTCCCAGCCCCCATGACACGGACGTTGTGCACAGACTCGTCTGTCGACCCGATTTCCGCGTCCCCTCCATAAAATAGAGGATAGCGAGCGCTCGAGCGGCTTCCGATGGTCTTTACAGGGAGGAAGTACAGACAATCGATAAAGGACAAACGGGAAAACGTAGGTGGCAACCTCAGTCAACACCAAGTCTGACCGGCTGCCTCGACCTTTGCTTGTACTTCAGACCAATTTTTCTCCAGCTGGAGGTCGGGTCCAAACTACACTCCAAGAATGCCGACAGGACCGTCCGTCCAACCGAAGGTCCCCAGAAGATCGACCCCCTTCCAGCCACCTAACCGCAAGCCGGACGACTTGTCGTGGTTAATCTTTGCCCCTGTCACCTTTTCGTACCGATCAAGCGCCTTCGGTACTGCCTCAATGTCGCTGCGGGAAAACACGAAAGCAGATACGACATCGGCGTACGCGGAAACCCTGGCTCGAGCCCCTATAGGAACGGCGATTCCACGTAGCACCGGACTGGAAGCCCAGCGAAGGAGAGGCTCCAACGCCAAAGCATAGAGTAGAGGCGACAGTGGATAACCCTGACGAACCGATCTAGACAGCGCAAAAGCGCCCAACAGCTTCCCGTTCACCTGTACCACAGTACTGGGGGAGCGATACTGGAGGCTAATCCAGCGGCAGGAGTCGGGTTCGAATCCGGCGGCTTGCAGAACAGGCGCAAGGTAGCGATGGTCAACCCTATCAAATGCCTCAGACTGATCTAAATTGTTCAGCGCGGCCTCATCGTCGTCTTTTATACCCTCTTTGATCGTGCGGATTTGATGCAGGTTGCTCTGAATTGTTCGGCCGTAATAAATATAAAAAAAATATTTCTGCCATGACTTTAATAAAAACAAAAAAGCATATTTATAATAATTTCGATCATCTGTGAATAGTTCCTGAAAGTTTCATTAACATCCGACAATTATTTTTATTTTTGCAAGATTTTCCAAATTAATGTGTGTCATACCAAAAAAACGTGCTAAAAATTGTCTATTTTACTAGTTCCGGTGGTACAAAGAGAAACAACGTTTATTTAATCAAAATTTAGAATGTTCTAAAAAGAAGGAAAATTTTTTTTTAAATAATTAAAAAAAACTTTGGTCTTTCATCTTAATAATAACATAAGCATTTAAACGATAAAATTTTGTTTTCGGCAAGGTCGGCATCTTTTTCATCAAGCTATGCTCTTTTTTAGCGATTTCGTGGAGGGACCTAACTCATTGGCGTTTTTAGATTTTAAATTGTTATTTTTATTCCCCCTCCCACAGAAAATGAATTGTAGATATGGGGACTAGTTAGGATTTCATAGAGTCTCTAAGGTATTATGGTGAATGTGGTAAGAATGGCAAGTAAGAATGCGTTGTTTTGGTGAAAGGAATATTGTTGGTATGTCTAGCTGGATCAGTGATTGTGACTAGCTAAGTAAGTTTAATTTTAAGACAGATGATGACCATCCTTTTCCCCATTCCCCCTTTTTGGCCTTGTGTGTATTTGTACATTTCACGTACAATAAATATCGTTGCCTCCCGAATCCGGAGTCTTTGTCATTTTCTGACTAGGATCGACCGATGTTTTCAATTGTCTGTCACTAATGTTTCTGTTTCTTTTTTTGTTTTACAGATTACTGACGCTAAGTTTCCCTTTTTATTTTCCATTTTCTTCGTTCGTTTTACAGGCCTTTTCGCCAAAGTGTGATTTTTTTTCTCTCTACCCCTCTACTTTATCCATTTTTGTTTCTTTTCTTTTGATATTATTTTTGTTTTATATACTTTTTTAATTTTTTGTAACCCTCCTCCTCAAAATCTTTCTTTGTTTCTACGTGTTTAATTTTTCTTACTTTTTCATTCTCTCTTTATTTATTACGTGTTAATTTGTTTCTTGTTTTTCTTTTCAAATATCTTTTAAGTCCGTGTTTTCTCGTTAATCGCTCTGGTTTTTCACGTTTATTTTTTCAAATCTGTCTTTTTTCGTGTTTCGTTCGTTTTTCGTTGGCCGTACGTTATTTTAACGCCGGCCATATTGAAAAAATTGTTTATTTTTATTACGTGTTGATTGTTTTGTAATTTTTGTAACTTACCGTTTTTTTGAACTTGTTTATTATTGTTAAACGTTCTTTTTGCCTGTATTACTGTATTTATTTTTTCTTTGCTCGTGTTACCCTTCTCTTTCCGTTTCAAAAGTTATTTTATGACTGTTTCTTGTTTTACCTTTGTCTTTATCGTTTATTTTTAATTTCTTCATTTTTTTCTTGTCTGTCTTTTGCATAATCTTTTTGTACGTGCTACTGTTTTTGTGTATTCTTTTTTCTCGCCTGTAGGTGAACTTTGTTTATTAAGCTTATTCATTAATCTGCCGTTTTTTACGTGAACCTTGTTTATTTGTTCCATAACGTTTAATTCTTTTTCCTACCACCCCTCCCCTTCCCTTCTTTTAATTTATCAAATGGAGAAAAAAAAAAAACAAGCAAAATTCCGTGCTTTCTTATAAAATAAAAGAAACCCATAATGGCTGACTTTAAGAGGTCTGTTAAAAAACATTTGTTTCCTATCAAAAAGCACCTACCTGGTAAAGATAGCAGAGAGGAGTACCTAGTTTTGACGAGTACTCCACTAAATAAGGATAATGTGAATTACCTAAACAAGTCTATTAAATCTACGGAGGCCAAAAATGGCCAAAACGAGAAATCGA